GAATATTGTTGGTGCATTTGGGAGGTCAAAATTTAAAATTCTCAATAATTTTCAAAAGCTCCTTGAAAAACAAAAGAAAAATTAAGGAAAAATGGGAATTTTTATGCAAAATCAATTTTTCACAAAATCGATTTTGGTTTTTGGTGTAACTTTAAAACAAATGACCTACGTTTTGTTTATATTTTAATTTTCTATACATGATAAAATTTTCAAAATATTTAGACTTGTTTTGAGCTGTTTACGGACAAGTTCATATTTCAATTTTTTTTTCTGTGAATATCAATAAAGTTTTATCTGTTGGGCCAAAAAGTGTAAAAATTTAATAAAAGACTCCTGATATATTGTTACAAAAGCAATTGAAAAATATTAAAAATGCATTGGCAAAATTTTTTTTTATAAGCATTTAAAGATCAAATTTTGACAAAATTAATCATTTTTAAAATTTAATAATTATTTTGTAGTTAAAAATTTTAAAAATGTTCAACTTATATAGCTAAGGATTGTAAATTTAAAATAAGATTCCACGTAAGTATTTAGATTGACATACCGCCGTCTCCGCTCAGAATCGTTTTTCTTATACAATGATATTATATCATTGAATTCAAATTTAATACCATCCATTATACATTGACCCACTTGTAACCTACTGTACAGCAGAGCACCTTTTTTTTAATTGACTTTTTAAAAACATAATTTGTCTTAAGGGGATTCTGTTTTTGCTCACCCGTGACATAGTATTTTAGACGTGTTTTTTGCCAAACATTCCAATCGATCCAATTTTGCTATTTTAATAATTTGTATTTATAATAATAATTATGTATATGTATTTTAACTCTTATCCTGATAAAATTGTTATATTAATTTAGTTATATTATATTAATAATTATAATTGAAAATATTACCATTTTGATATTTAAGGAAGATATTTATAATATATAGCTTTAATGTACAACAGTTAGAGATATTATAGTAAATCAAGGTTTTTGGAATTAAGGATCTAATTTTGAATTACTTACATTGTTTACGTAATTTAATGAGTATCCTGTGGAGATATAAACTAATTTTTTTCAAATTAACTTCAAAACGGTCGATGTATAAAAATAAAAATTTTAACAAGTAATTTCCAAGTTGTTAAGCTTTTAGCAGATACTAAGGGTAATGATCCACGAAAATAGGTTTATTAGGATATATGGGGTCTATAATGATCTACAAATCATACTAATTAATCGGTGCATCCGAATTGCATGCCAAAAAAATAAATATAAATCGGGTCGTCCGAATTGCATGCCGTCTCTTGGAGGGGTCTGTCCGAATTGCATGCCGTCTCTTGAAGGGGTCTGTCCGAATTGCATGCCGTCTCTTGGAGGGGTCTGTCCGAATTGCATTCCATCTCTTAGAGGGGTATATCCGAATACATAACTTACTTCTCAACTGGAGGATCGGGATTTTGTTACATTACAATAAAACATATAAATATTGTAGAAGGTGACACTGTGAATAAGAATCATAAAAATATAAAACTATTTTTTTTTTCATCGACAACAAAGGCCATTAGTTAAATAAAACTATTGTAGTTTAGGGTAATCAAGTGAGTGTATTTTAAATAATATTATTTTTAAATTTGGTGGTTTTTTTTGACATTTCGGGCACACAATATTACAATTTAAATAAACAAAATAATATATAATAATAATTCATAATAATAAAATATGTCAATATAGAAACATCTTTTTTTGAATAATAAAATAGTATAATAGCATTTTTTAAAACGGTTAATATTACAATGAAAAATTAAGTTACAGTATAATAATAAAAATAATAATAATAATAATATAGTCATAATAGTATAATAGTCTTATAATTAAAAATTTTGGTTTTGTTTATATTGTTGTCGGCAATGACATGTATGCCAACTTTTCCACATACAAAATTCTATTAATTTCATTATTTTGAAATTCCGTCATCACTAAACTTATACTATTTTCTTTTTCTAATATTTCTCGGCGTCTATTGCTTAAATTGGAACTACGCATTTTTATATATACATCACATTGTACTTGCTTTAAGACATCAACTAATTGAAAAATATTAGGACTTGGGGAGTAATACATGCTATTCAGCTTGGAATGGAATGATTCACAGACATTAGTTGTACGCATTGTAGAATTAGAAAATTCAGCCCAAATAGATGGTGGAAATAAACTGTCAGCCATCACATACGTTTCTAAGAAGTAGTCACAAAATGCATGTATACGATCATCGTTGGGTTGAATTGTCATGATTTCGTTCGTAAAACAGTCGTCTACATCATTTGGATTTAAAAATGACAGTCCAAAAAATAATTTTAAAAATAATCCGATTTCTGTTTTTTTTTTTAAAATTTGTACATAAACCTACTGATTGAATTTTTCTCCATATGCTCTGTCCTAAGTGAAAACGACATCCTTTTCTTATTGTATTTGGAAAAACAACTAGAAGTGCAGAATGAATAGCTAGTTCAAAGTCAGCGTAAATTATTTTTGGCGATAAATTTAAGTTTAATTCGTTCATCTTCAGTAATAAATTAGTCAAAGCATCTTCATAAATTAGTTTTGTTTTTCCCGTTAATAAAAAAAAAATTAGTGGCGTATAGTTGTGATTTTTAACTCCGTGAATTGTGAATAATTGATAAAACATCTTAGGGCAACTTTTAAATGTACCGTCAACAAATAAAATTTCGCACTCACTTAAATATTTTAAATTTGCGTGTGATGTAAAAGCTACAATATTTTTTTCATGATTATTAATAAATAAAAAATCTTCGTCTCTATTAGTTTTGATGTTTAAATTATCTAAAGCTGTGTGTAAATCAATCAAAGTTTCTGGCAGTTTAGGATAAATGCTTGATCGGGCATAATGTAAATTTTTTCGAACTCGTGTAGTGTCATTTGTCGTCCATGTACTAATATCTCCCTTTAATAGCTCACGATGCAGTATTTTACTTGGTTTTTCAAAAGGATCATCTACAGCCTTACGTTTTAAATTATTACATACCCTTTGTCTATTTAATTTTTGTTCGTCATCTTTATTGTGATTATGATCTATCTTGCGGAATATAACTTTATGTTCACTGTTTATATACGATAATTTTATGTAAGACGTACACGAACGTTTACAACAAGCCCACCTTTCAATATCATTGCACAATAACTTTTGAAAATAAAATTTAAAATCATCAATTACAAAAAGTTTTTTATTTTTTTCACTCAACATATATTCAACTTGTGGTTCCATGATCACACTACAGTTAACACACTTCGTTAACGTTCCAAGACGTACTAATATTATAAGACACAGAAAAACACACAGGTGATATCTCCTTTTGATCTAAATTATATATATAAATTACTTTATTACTATTATTTATGGTCGTAGTGGCGTAGCTCTATACCTTTCTTATCTTAATATTATTTCAGATCAATATTGAACATAAACGCTTATACATTTGACAGCTACAAACACTTAAGTGACCGATACGTATGTCTATGTCTGTGAAACAGACCGAGACCACAATACACTATATTACTCCAATATAGATACTGTTTGGGAAAATATTTACACGGATATAAAAATATTTCAATCCAGAAACTAATCACTAAACAGTTGTAACAACCATACATAAAAGAACGTTTCTATACATGCATTTTTTTAAAATAATTAGGTAAGTCAAAAAAAAAGTTTAAGTTGTTTAAGTGCATAGTAAATAAACGTGTGGTGTACGGCATGCAATCCGGACAAAGCCCTCTAAGAGATGGCATGCAATTCGGACAGACCCCTCCAAGAGATGGCATGCAATTCGGACAGACCCCTTCAAGAGACGGCATGCAATTCGGACAGACCCCTCCAAGAGACGGCATGCAATTTGGACATTTTTTTTTTTTGGCATGCAATTCGGATGCAGCCTAATTAATTATTTAATCATTAAAATCTCGTTATTTGTAAAAATTGTCTGAAGGTGTCTGCACTAAACGAAATGTTACATATATTATAATCAGGCGTGGTAAAAACCACGTGACATTGAACTTAACCTGGTATATAATGGTGTGTTCACCTGGTCAAGATCGTGACATACCTACACGAAAACTGGTTGCAGTGTATTATACACACACTATACGATTATTATGTATATTAAAAGTGATTTTGGATGGATAACACCGCGAGATAATACGATATAGTTACGTGCACGCGAATATCGGACATTATTCCGATCGCGATTTTTCTATACGTGCAAGTCCGTATTCCCACAGGCGAGCAGTGGCATGACGAACTTGAAAATGATCAGAGGTAAGTATAATAATATATTTCACACACTTAAAACCTGATAAACGAATTTACCATCATATGACGATGAATTTAAATTGAAATCATTTTAAATACTAAATTATTATCATCCATTGGCCGCATTGCCCAATACCAACTCACCCACCACCCCTTAAAAAACTCAGAGGCAGCAGCTGCGCGCGCTTACCAGCTCTCGCACTATATATGTAGTAAAGAACCTTAAGCCAATAATATTAACGTATAACTGTTCAACTGCACACGTGAAAACAATTAAGCGTTATAGCCAATGTCGACATAAATACGAGTAAAGTCCACGCACAGGTCTCAGTGTTCGCATGACAACCGAACTATACGCGTGCGCAGTATCGTCGTTAATTATGTAATTTAAAATCGCGTCGAATGGGCAACGGACTTCCCGTGGAGTGTTGCACAGTCGTTCGTGTAAGTAATATCATCACTTCATCGGCCACACCATGACAAATTAAATTTGTCATGGGCCACACGGAGACTGACCCGTCGAAGAAGAACTCGATCGATGTACCTAATGATCATATATTATCTAATATCTAATATCCGGCATCATCAACAGAGCTATTTAATCGTATAACATAATTTTGTTCATAGCATCATTTTATTGTTACCTATTTATTAACTATTTTGAGATGTCTACAACGCACTAAATGATACTTCATCGATACCGCATTGATTTGAAATCACGATCTTCACCATCCGAAAATTCACATCCAAACAAATCCCGATTAACACGGAAAATTATGGCGGTTTTCGTAAGCGAATCGGTTTCCAGATGGATTTTGGTTTTCTTCAGTTTCGCTGTGTTGTCCGTCCGATCGGAGAGCTGTAATTATGTCACACATTTTCTCACGAACAACGGGCTGTACACCCTAAACGCAACCGATTCGGTCATGTTTCTCCCCACCAATTATAGTTACATAAAAGCCGAATGGGAAAACTCTTGTCCGACCGGAAATTGCACTACCGCCAACGAGATTCTCTACGGAAACGAGAGGATAACGTCGCTCTCAAAAACCAATTTACAAATAAAGGACGATGAATTGACTAACGCGATTTACAACAGTTTAGTCGGTAACACGCTTTTGAATGACGTAATAATCGTGTTTCCCAACAGGTATGTCGTCAGGACAAACTCCGAAAAATTGATCATCTTCATGATAAAAATCGGCTTTGATGTTTCAATCGCAAGTCCAAAATGCGATACTAATGCATTTCAGTATAAATCGACCTTGTCAAAAATAAAAGGGTTGGTTTGTGTGAGTAGATTTTCCTCCTCCGATGGGAGAAATAAGATTAAATGTGATAATATCACGTTGTTTTTAATTCCAATCGTAGAAAATGGTAAACTTGACGCTGAGGTAAAATGCGATAACAGACGTAAAGATAACGCACAAGTAACAAAACATTCAGCTGATAATAAGCGGAAATATGTGTAAAATTATTCTTGTACCTACCATGTTAATTTTAATATTTTTTAAGTAACATATAAATTAAATCATATAATACCTATTATTATATTACCCTATCAAACAATAAATTAAATTATGTATACAAATTAGAATATATATTTTAAAAATATTGTACAGTTTATCAAATATATATATGATTTTAAAAGCATTATGTAAATTAAATACACACAACATTTCAATTAATTAAAAACAAAACTAAAATTTCGAATAAAGACGACTTTATATACTGAATACCTGTATTTATGTATGCCTAGTATGGCCAAATTTAAAACAAACCTACTCATAATATCACACCTATTTGGTTCCTCCTAAGATAACTATAAGTTAATCGCAAATAAAAATTGGTATTACTCACGTGTGTGTTAAAGAGACTCGATCTCAGATGGCGTGGGTAACAGGTGTTAATTGTTTTTGTCACACATTTCTGACGGGAGGCGACCGTTATCAATTATCATCAATAACATTATTGATTGGTGTTCTGAATTTAAATATTTCAAAATTGAAAATTTCCATCTTAAAGAATACTTAAATGAAAAAAAAACTCGGGAAAATGTCAGAAAAAAAAAAATTTTTCAGAAAATTAAAAATAATTGTATTTAAAATAAAACAATGTAAATGTAAAAAAATACTGGTAAAAAAAATAGATAAAGAAACCTGTCATTGTCATTTCCAATTTTCCGGAAAATCCCAGTACTAGAAGTTTTTGTGCATAAACGTCGAGACCTGGTGCACATTTCTGCACAAACAATGCACAAACGTTTGGCACTTTACAAATTTCAATTTTCCAAAAAGGGGGTGTCTCATTTCAATGGCCCCTCATTTTGGTTTTGGGATAGCGCTGGAAGTTTTTGTGCACATACGTAGAGACCCGATGGACATTTCTGCACAAACGATGCTGAAAAAGATACTAAGAAAGTGGGGGGGGGGAGGGGGCATTGAAATGAACTTGTTCTCCGGCTCACAACAAAAACAGCAATCTTTATAGCAACAATAATTTACGATAACCTAACTAATACCATCGTTGTGTATACTTAATCAATGCTTGTATAAGTCCTCATAATATAAGCGAACACGTTAAACGCCAAAAACCTGTTTATAAATTACAGTACACTACAATATTATTATTGTGCCTTGGCCTTGATAATGGTTTTCCCCACCAGCTGTAAATTTAACATAATTTATAGTTTATACACAGGTACATATAGCAGGTATAGAGTATTTTATATTGTACTCGAAGACATTCGGGTAATTATTGGACAGAAATCCAATCAAAATATAACAGAACCCTGCAGTAGCACACTGAGTGCCGCAGTCGTGTTTGGTTATAAATATCAGTAGGTACCAAGAATATAATATCTAGTTGTTAGCGTTAGTTTAGTTTTACTATATAGTCAAGTTACATCAGTAAGCTATTTTATGGTTTTCCGATTAAAATCAAACATCCACATCTCCAACTTTTCCCGACAACATCCAACACCTAGAAGAACTTTCATGAACAACACGAACCAACTGTAAGTATATTTTATAGCTGTTATACTTTTTACGTATCGCATAAGTTAATACCTACCATTTTAGGCGTTCACACTGATCTGTTTTCAAAAGTAACACTAAACTCAGTTTGAAATGTATCCATCAGGTCAAATCAGTTATAATTTGTCATATAACTGATCAAAACAATCATAACAAATATCTAATTGGTAAACCGCAACTCGCAAGCCTATGTGTAACAAAATAATTTACTGTAAAATAATTATATTTATTATTTGTATTGTACTTTTTGAAAATAGATATTACGTGTTTTGATTTATACGAAACGTAGACAGAAAAATGTGCACCTATATCAAAATAATAAAATCAATATAATAAATTTATTATATCAGTGTATAAAAATCGGGTAATTTCTAAAAATAAATGAATATGGAAAAAATTTATTGCAGACGGTTCTGAAGGCGATTGCATCAAAATCAGGACACATACCGGATTGCTGAACACGGAGGTCAATATCAAGGTTTGGATAAAAAATAATTTCTGTTGAAGATATAATTCATAAAATAATATTATTTTAAATTATAAAATATTTTTTTTTTTTTATTAGGGTTGAGGCTTCGACAACATAGGTCATTAGCCTGTGGTACTGTAGGGGGGGACTTTAGATTGTGTGTGTGTTTTGGCAGAATTTTCGATTTGGGCACCCGTAGGTATCTTCCATGCCCGGCACTTGTTCTCCGGACACCGTGACTTGCCCGAAGAAAAATGCCGCCCGTGACCACGGGATCGAACCGAGGCCTTAGACCGCTCGGCCACTCCATCCCTCAATTATAAAATAAATTATACGGAAAGGAGAATTGTATACTCACAATTCGGTTGAGCTGTCACTCAACCATTAATCTTTTTTCGTCTATAACTGAACGGCACTATTAATACATATACATTTTATGGTATCATATAAGTGATAATTAGTTATATGTTATAATAACAATAAAACAACCTGTATTTGTAACAATAATAATAACAATAAAACAATCATATTATCTCGTTAGTTAAAACTCAGTTTACAAAATACGTAGGTATTAATTATGATTTTTATAAATTATTTATGTTCAGTTTTGATCTTTATCAATTTACCGTTTTTTGTCAGATCAGAAAATTGTAATTATATAGTAAATTTTTTTATGAAAAAAAATGTATTCGTATTTAAGTCAGTAGAATCCGTAGACTTTCTTCCAATCGAATATAAAACCACAAGTTTTGGATTCATTCCATTGGATTTTGGAAATACAACTGTATACCCTAACCTTATTACATATAAAGATAAAGACATTGAAACTCTATCAGACACTGAATTGAAAATTAGTAATGAAGATTTAATGAGGGCCGTTTACAAAAGTCTTCTTAATGACGAACGTTTACATGATGTAATAAGTGTTTTTTCAAATAGATATGTGGTTAGAATTGGTTCCAACAACGTGAGAGTCTTCACATTTAAATTTGGCGTTGATGTTGAAATTGACCATACGAAATGTGACATTGATCAAATACGATTTATAAAATCGATAATTAAAGGAATGATTTGTAAGACCGTTTACGTGTCCGGCGTGAGGTATAACATTAAATGTGAAACTATCACATTTAGTTTACTGCCCATTGACGAAACTGGTAAACTTGAAATAGAAACAAAATGTAAGATCTAATTTTTGTTTTTGGCTGTAAGACTTTCTGTGAAAATGTGAACTATTACTGACGTTTATGACGTTTTTGATAACTGATGTATAGTTAAATCGTTTACATAATATTATAGGTAATATTGTGTTAATTTATTATTAATATATTTTTATCGTATAAGACAAAATTGTACGGACTTAGGATAGTTTGAAATACTATATTATCAATAGGCGAGTGGTGACTGGGGGACTGGGGAGATATTATTAGTGCATAATAGTTATACAAAACACAAAACCCGTTAGCTAATATTAAAAAATAATATAGGTATAAACACCTAATTCCTATTTCCTACAGTATACTGTACGGTTATAGAGACATAATATTGGTAAATTGTAAAACAATTTTGAATCCTCCTACCAAAGTAAAAATTGAAAAATATTGTCTATATTATTAAAAATACTTCACTCTTTTGCAGTGATCGTCTCAAAGCAGCATAGTTTGAGAAAAAGCTAGAGTTTAAAAATCTATTATATGTAGGAGTTTGACTATAACTTTATGCTCACGTTATAGGTTTCATAAATTATTAACCACGGTTGCAGTAGACATTTCTTCCAAATTATTTCACAATCAAAAAAAATACGTATGTATGGATGAAGTATAGAAATTTGTGTTGCCATCAATTGAATATTTAACTTTAATAGCTTTTTGTAAAACGGGATCCCTCTGAGACAAAAAAGAGCTATAAATGGCCTATAGCCAACTATAACACCACCTATACTTATGCTCATGTTATACATATTACATATATTATATATATATATATTTATCTACTAATTTTAAGATCATTTTTTCAATATTATATATTTTTGATTGTATATAAAACATGACTAATCACAAAATAAATATTCGTTTTAAATTTAAAAACAAAATATATTATATCTATCTACATTTTAAACTTCTGTACTTACATATTCGTAATATTATTATAACCATGTAATTTATTTGTTTATTTTTTACAATTTATGTCATACTGAATACAATTACTAAATATCATATTTATATTATGTATTTATTACCATTTTATAATATTGTATCGTTTTTATATTAATTTCTATCCCGTTAAGAACGTTACTACCAAAAGATAGCTTCGCTGCTCTTATAATTTTAAATGTTTATATATATATTCTCTATCTCTCTGAAAACCTATTTGCTTATTGTATATTTTATTTTGTACTGGTTTTAAAAGTTAAGTTTTAATAAAATATGAATTCCTATCAAATGTGCTATTCAATACATTTTAAATATTTTAACTCACACTGTTATAATATAGGACATACAAATATGCTTAAGTATTATAATTATTATATATAGAATTCGTCAAAACATGTAAATCATTGTTGTAATAACTATTATAATTAAATATATATATATTTTTTTAATGTATTGTGTATAAAATATTTTATGCAGCCATTGTTAAATAAAAAAACCCAGACGTCTTCAACATAATAATAATATTATTATTGCAACAACAAAATAGGTATGCAATACATAAAAACATATTATAGTTCTAACTTCTGACCTTCACTTTCATCACCTACCAATTATTAACATCATATTCAGTTATGTTGTTCAATCAAGTTTGAATTATTACTGAATAAACTTTGAAAATTATTTTCTGTTAACGTATACCACTTCGATAATGCCTGCGTTGCCACTCGATTCTGAGCGGAAACGGTATGTCGGTTTAGATATAAGATATATTATATTATTATATACTTATCTATGGTATTAAAAAAAATTATACCTATAATAGGTATCTATAATAAATTCCAAATTAATCATATCACAATATCCATAAGGTACTTATAACGCGATATACATCAATAACAAACCCTGATACTATAATAGATATAAAATAGTGTACTTTAGAAGTTTCAAGTACCCACGAATAATATTATACAATCACAAAAAAATAACTAAAACAGTTATTCTAGGTTTTTTTTATGTAATTTCGTCCAAATTTGAACTTAAAATGAATATAAAAATAAACTGTGCTTATGTATTTTTTAGACTTTTTGATAACAGAATTAACTACTTACGTGGAATCTTGTTTTAAATTTTCAATCCTTAGATATAAAAGTTGAACATTTTATACATTTTTAACTACAAAATAATCATTCAATTTTAAATTTGATGAATTCGGTCAAAATTCGATCTTTAAATGCTTATAAAAAAAAATGTGCTCATGTATTTTAAATATTTTTCAACTGATATTGTAACAATATATCAGGAGCCTTGTATTACTTTTTTACTTTTTTTGGCCCAACAGATAAAACTTAATTGATATTTATAGAAAAAAAAAAAACTAAAAAAATTGAAAACTGAAATTGTCCGTAAACAGCTCAAAAAGAGTCAAATTATTTTCAAAATTGTAAGGTGTATAGGAAATGCTAATATAAATATTCAGTGAAATTTTCATGTATCTACAGTCATTCGTTTTTGAATTACAACAAAATAAAGAAATCGCTACACGAGAAATCGAGTGAATATCTAATGTTGTAAAAATTTGAATATCAAATGCTCATAAAAATTTAATTTGACTTGCTTCTAGAAATTTTTCTTTTGATAATGGTAGGCAAACTTATGAGGAATCTTGTATTACATTTGAAAATCTTAGATTTAAAAAGAAAATTTTTTATGAATTTCTAACTCGAATAATTTGCAAATTTTCGTCATTTTTAAGTATTTTGTTAATATTTGAACTTTAAATGCTTATAAAAAAAAATTGTGACTATGGATTTTTAATTTTTCATCTGCCTTTGAAACAATATACTAGGAGCTTTCCATTAAATTTTCAAGCTTTTATAACCAACAAATACAATTTTATTGATATTTATAGAAAATAAAACTAAAAAAAATGGAAACTGAAAATGTCCGTAAACAGCTCAAAATAAGTCAAAATATTTGGAAAATTTTATGGTGTATAGAAAATGCTAATATAAACATTCAGTCAAAATGGCAGGTACTAGCGGCCATTTGTTTAAGAGTTAAACCAAAAACCAAAAGCTATTTTCGAAAACAGATTTTGCATACAAATTCCCGTTTTTCCTTAATTTTTATTTTATTTTTTCACGGCGCTTTTGAAAACTACTGGAAAAGTTTTACTTTTGACCCCCCAAAGTATCAACTAGATTCACTTTCCTTTCAGAAAAGATACTGTTGAAGAAAATCTAAGCTCTTTCACTGAACTAAAAGGTTATGATAGACACAATAGAAAATCATAATCATAATATCTTATTACGCTCAAAATCTGAGTCCAATGATTTATGATACGAATATATCAGCATACAACTGAGTAAAGTAAATACAATTTTGTTTCTATTAATTAAATAATGGTTTTTATAATAAATTTATCTTTTGTTTTTATTTTGATAAATGTTGTATTGCATGTTTCATCTAATGACTGTAATTTATTTTCAAATTATATAGCGAGCAAAAATCTATTTATAATAAATACAAATGAATCTATAGAGTTCATTCCTTCCGGATTGGAATTAAAAGAATCTGAATGGGAAGAAATAGAACGTAACTCCACATTTACTAATAAGGTTGATTATAATGATGACCAATTCATAGACACTCTCACAGAAACAGAATTAAATATAAGTGATAACGAACTCACTGATGCCATTCACAAAAGTCTCGTTGAATCTGAACTTTCAAATGATATAATTAGTGTTTTTCCGAACAGATTTATTGTTAGAACAGAAGAGACCACAAAAGCCATAGTCTATTCGATTAAATATGGAGCTACTTTTAATTTTAAAATTAAAGCAAAATGTAAAAAATATCAAATGAAATATCATTATTCATCTTTGAATGGTTTAATTTGTAAAACCCATTACGCCTTGGGCAGAAGATTCAGCTTTAAAAGTGGCAACCTCAAATTGTTTTTATGGTCTATTGCCGATAACGGCAAAATTGATGGCGAAGTAAAATGTGATGTTTAAACTTTTTTTTTTGTAACACTAAATATATATAAACATTTTGCTTTAGGGATTTAGGGATTTAGGGGAGTAAAAAAATGTATTGCTAAGTGGAGTTTTAGTAAACGCCGTTATTTTTAAAAATCAAGTTTAATTTAATTTAACTTTAGTTCAATGTTTTATTAGTATTATTTATATTTTTAACATAATTTCATTAACTGATTATTATTACAATAGATATATCTGATTCATATGGCAATCAAATTATCTCAAAGAAACTGCCTTTACCTATAGTTAAACAAATACAATTAAAACATGTAAATCAGAATAGACATTTTTGTGACGAGTGACTTTAACGACGGATGAGCGAGTAGTATGGTGGCTGAGAATCATCAACGCAGCAGATTTATGTGAATAATAATGTTTTAATGTTTATAGACAGGAATCACCAAGCGGGTTCACGCCTCATAGACAATATTTTCAAGTAGGTTAGGTTGTCTGGTTAGGTTGGATAGATTTTTGTATACCATATAAGGAATAGGTATACTGTGGGGATACATACATTTTATATTTTTTTAAATAGAAACAAACATTTTTAACTGTAAATTGTAAATATTGTTAAGCGTTGACTTTTATTTTAAAAATTTGATGATTCTAATTTAAAATCGAATGAGTACAGAGTAGTTTCCAATTTATTAAAATTTACAATACACTAAAAATAATATTACTTAAAAATGGTTTTACAAAAGTCGAAAACATAAAATGTATGAGAATCTAGAATATTATCTTCCGAAAATATGATCATTTAAGTATACGTTTTATGAATTCAAAAAATCACAATTTGAACATATTAAGGTGGATCACCCGAAAATAAAGGTTTGGATTTCATTATTTCAACATGCGGATACAGTAGAACGGCTTTTAATTATTGTATATAGGTAGTTAATTTAAAAATCACACGTCCTCGTGCTATACTATTAAATCAGAATTATTCAAGTTCCCAAGTCGCTATCGCGTAAATAATAATAAATAAAAATAATTATAACACGCGCCAAGCCAGTCGTATTTCACGGCGCGCCTGCGCTCTCGTGCTGGTGGCATGACGGTTGCGAACCCCTACTGCGGCAAACGTAAGTGTAGGTAATAGATATACAATTATATTATAATTTTCATACGGAAAAATTCTTCCCCCCTCACAATCCAGTAGCCAGTTCTGAAACACAGCGTTGCGATCAGTGCAGTTATTGTACACCGACTTATTAGTCTGTTAAGGTCATGTAAGGCTTAGCTATAAATATATTTACGAGAGGATCACGTTTTGATTTTACATTCCATTTAATAACCACATTTTTCGTATCGAAAATAATGTTGTACAAACCGAATTCTAGTACGACGTCATTTCACTATTGAATTCCCAACGTTATTTTCGGACTTACAATCTAACGCCGAGAATTTTAATGGACTCGAACCAACCGTAAGTATAATATTATAATACAATTCGATACTGTAGTCTGTAATTCGAACATATTTTAGAATCGGCGCTAAACGTTTTCCTACTTGGGTACTAACTGGTTTATGTGAAGTTGCAAGCGTTAGTTTACGAAGGTTTCAAAGCTTAAATATCCAAACAAAATATTAATAAAAAAAAAAAATCGTGTTTCTGTAACAGCATCCGACGTATAACAAATATTAATTACAATGATTTTTATGAACCATTTAGTTGCCTATGTGGCTTTAATTTTTATCAATATTGCGTTTTCTCTTGGATCGGAAGACTGTTCTTTTATTTCGAACTTTTTTAAAAGCAAAGAAATATTTGTCCTAAACGAAGCAGATACGGTCGAGTTTCTTCCCTCCGAATACAGTCACATAGATTCCGGCTGGGATGATGTGTGTGTCAATACTACGAGTTGTGTTATATTCGGTAATGAGGTTAGTTATAAAAATAAAAGAATAAGATCACTTTCTGACACCGAACTCGGTATTACCGATCAAGATTTTACAAAGGCAATTTATAAAAGTTTTATCAACAACGAAATCTTACATGATGTAATAAGTGTGTTTACCAATCGATATGTCATTAGAACACGCTCGACAAAGGTTTTAGTCTATTCGATACACTATGGCATTCAGTTCGATATCATAAGTCCAAGCTGTACGAACTATCTAATCAAGTATCAAATTTCAAAAATAAAAGGTTTTATTTGCAAAATCGGTTTCATATCCGGCGTGAGATCTCAAATTAAATGTGACGATGTAACATTATATTTAAATCCTATTGACGAAAATGGTAACATTGATTGTGAGACGAAATGTCAAAATTAAATGCGCGTTTCCCTTAAGAACAATATTGTAAGCCATAGATAAGTCAATTATTATTGTACGTTCTGAGTTTGAGCTTTAATGAATTTATGTTTTTCTAAATTAATGATTATTCTATAAGTTATAACTAAACGCCAATATAATGTACATTTTAATTTTTATGTGTAGTTTTTTTTTCAGACGTTTTAAGTGATCAATTGTATGAACATGTTTATTCTACAGGTACAGAGTTATCTATTTGGACATGACATGCTATGCTTCCCTAGTTTTCTAAAATTCCATATTTAAATGATTCCGTATAAATAATCTTTGATAATGGTTTTTATGTACTTACAACCAATAATAAGCCAAATGATAACAATTAATATTACGCAAACAGTACAAAAACCTACTGGTAAAATACTTGTCTTGTACGCAATAAACTCACGATACTTCTAGCTACTGCAAACTAATTATTATAATATTAATATATACTTTAATTATTTCGAATAATGTATTTCATTACGCAGGTAAAAAATAATCTGTTTTTTTTACTTGTTATACATATTTTTATGCCCATATAAAATAACCGGGGCCATGTTTCTGTGAGCCATCGCCGAACGAACCGTTGCCATTCACAAGTCACAACCGCACTCAATATTATTGTGTTCAACTTGGATATAATTATTTACATATTATTAGACACGTCAAATAATAGGTACCACGTCAATTATACGAACACTCTATTCAGAATAAGAATAGAAAAAAATCACGACAAAACCACAAAGTCACGTTCGCGCATGTGCAGTCTCGTTGGCTGGCGTCGGTGCGCTGCAGCTGGCGACTGCTGGCCCCAATCACAGAGGTCCTACCGTTCCGAGGTAGGTCCTTTCCTTTCTTATTCTGAATAGAGTATAGGAATTATCTCTCATATGTCCGTACGTCAAAACAGTGTAATATATGTGATTTTTATAATTGATACCTAATGAAACTGGTTGAATTGCTATTTAAATATGATTCCAAGCATGTGCGTTTAAATTTAACTTCCATTAGAATTTGTAAATAATTTTTGAAAATGTAAACATTCATATATTATACTGTACATGGAAAGTTTTCGTAATTTGAAAGGTTCTTGGGTTCGGGACTTCGGGTTGGCACCATCTATGTCACAAGTCTCAACACATTTACACTGTTTGCAATTGCTCTTTTGATCCGTTTTCCACTCAAATAATAATATAATCAACCACCTGTGAAAAAAAAATGATAATATATACTATTATTATTGTTATTTTTTATAATTCGAACTTATTATTTTTTTCTTAAATAACATTATAGCACATCAATAATAACGTTCAACATTATTATATACACACCCAAATTTTGCAGAAATACATTCTCGATTAACTTCGCGTAACCATCCACGGAAACCTTGAAATCAATACGATGATGTTATGAACTGTGGCAATGTGGTAAACTATCGTATAATTAACATACAATATTTAGCAAACATGAAACAAGTTGTTATTTTCGTTATTACCTACCTCTACAAACTAATATCATTGTTCAAAATACAAGTTGGGTGTCCTATAGCATGTCCTAAGTATGTACTATGTACCTAATATTGTTTTTCGATTTAATAAAAAGAAAAATTGATATTTTACAAGTACCTACTAACCAAAATTGTGTAATTACGTCGTAAAAAGTATTCTATATTCTAGCACTTATTTACAATTTTACATATATATAATAATATTATTACATGCATTTACGTAAAAATAAATATTAAAAATTTAAAAAACTTGAAAGATAATTAAATGTATAATAGCTCGTTGGTGTCCAATAATCCCTCCAATATCTGACAAAAAAAACATTTAAACACTAAAATAGTAAAATCAAACATGGTTCATCTCGATGTAAGCATTTTATTCGGCGGGAAAGAAACCGAAAAAAACAACAAAAATCTCATAGAAAATAGGTAGCCCGAAGTCTATTCAAATTGGGACAAACAACATATGATTGTGACTATGTTTACATGGTAACCAAGCGAAAAACACGACCAGTGACCACAGCCGGCGGGACGACGCTGCCAAACAGGTTGTAGCTGGCGTTCGTATGCTCCGTCTTCATCATCATCGTTTCGATGAAGACGGAAGCTACTATTACCTACGTCACGTTCTCGACGATCATAGCAATAGTGTTCACGTACCTAAAAAATCCACATCAATTATAAAACGGGAATATTGATGCCCGAATAAATTATTTACATAAACACGATACTAGAATATCATTAATTGCAGCGTTGGTTTGATAACAAAACTGTTATGGGCAAGGTCTTACGCTCCTTGCCATTGAACTTCAAATTGTCAACTCCCATTGACATAGTTTTTGACAAGAATGTCCATACCGAGGATGTGTAAGTCGTTTTAATAATAATATAAATTATATATATTATATTATAGAATTATGCAAGTTATAAAACTAGTGAATTATAAAGGTTGTTATACCTTTAAATAAACAATTATAGCTATATGTTAAAACAAATGTATATTATTTGTCAACCTGTTAAATATTTAAGAGTTTTACAAGTTTAAAAAAAAACACTCAGTTTTGTATTATTTGTCGAAGTGTTTAATATTCATGATTTGTTTCTTCATCTTTATACACCCCTAGGCCAGAACACATATTTATTGTATACAATTATAGTCATTAATTAATTTAATCCCGTTAGGTACACAATTTAAAAATGTTAACATAAAATAACTGAGAAAAAATTTCTTTCAAGTTATAATGTACCAAATAATATTTTTTAAAACACTGTTAATTTTTTAAATATAAAACGAATTGTTCTAGTTAATTTAATACGTATTTATTATATTATATAGAGAACACTTACAGATTGTAATCGAATTCAAATTTGTCTAAAAGAATTACTATTTTACAATACTAATCAGCAGGGACATTTATTAATAAATAAAATTACGAACATTTGAAATAAACATTATTAAGTAAATTGTTTTATATTAACTTAACTTTAAAATAATAATTGTATTGTAAAAATTATTCGATATCTTTAGATCAAAATAGAAAAAAAAGATTATCCTTATAAAATATATATTGTATGAAATTAGTTTTTTAAATTGTCAAATATTTATGTTCTGAATACATGATGTAATTGTATGATTAGAAATAACTTCTCAAGCACAACTTTAAAACGTCATCAGCTCAAATTCCAAACCATTAATGTCAAACACTTGGGACCTAATAGGTTGTTACTTGCAGTGATTATACTATTTAAAGGCTCAATGATATAATTACTATACTTGACAGAAATTGGTTCAATACGGAACTCAAAATGTTTGAAGTAATAAATAAATGCATGTGCACTATAAAAACATTTTGGCACTAGCAAAAGACAATTGCATACAAAAACAATAATATAAGCTGTAGAAGAAAAAACGAAGAAGTCAACCTGTTCGGTTGTGGCTACTCAAACCAAAGCAGACAATATAAGACACGGAATGTTTTTATTAAAATACAATTTAAACAATATAAATGATTTTCTGAACGACGTACTAACCCGTCTTGCGTTTTGGAGACTGCTCGATTTACACATATTTTTAACCTTAAATATTGTAAATTTAAAACTTATGGTCAACTAAGCATTTTAGTTGACTTACTTATGCTAAGGAAATTTCAAAATAAAATATTATAAATTGTTGCCTTAGCTCGTCTGCTCCGTCCACCTAAATAAAATACAAATTACCTACGTTTTTTATTGATAATAATTATATTATTCAACACATACATACTACAAACTAGAAGAAAAACATACAAGACAACTGGACAATCTTCTGAAATTAAAGAAAAAATGATTCAATTGAAACAACTGAATCTACAACAAAATATTATGTCAATAAGTATCCAAATATACAGTCAATATCACGCCTATTTGGTTCTAAGTGTAAAGTATATACATGAATTCCGGCCAATCAAAGCTTCAAACAAGGTCACATCATCTTCAAAGAAAATCAAGTACACATACCTATAATTTCTCTTCATAATGTATATTTGATTAAATAATTGTTTGTTTTATGTATTCGATAAGTGTAATACTATTATAGCTGTTGTAATCTTTCAATTAAATATTACTATACAATTTGGTGTAAAATACACGTGAAATATACAAATATATTTTTTTTACATATTTACTGATAGAAATACTGCATTAATTTTGAAATTACATATTAAATAACCAAGAATAACGACTTTGGTTATTTTGTTGTAATTTTATAATATTAATTCAACTTACCGGTAGGTAAGTAGGTATACTGCATACGTTAGGAATATGGGATACTAGAGTACCTATATGTATAAGCAGTAATATTTAAATTGTACATTACATTGTGCAGCATTTAATATTAATTATGTATATTATGTCTCAACTCAAAAAATATGTACCTACCTGTTACTTATTGTCCTAAAAATATTTAGGTACATCATAATATGATTATCGTAATTGATAATTATTAGTATATTAGCTAGGTACGATGGACTGATTTTTTCCTGAATACATTTCTGAGTTTTGGAAAAAATAATTTTTTGTATACTTACATAATTTAATCGAAATATGAGGGTGAATATAATTGTTGTTGACTTTTGAGTAGGTATACAACATGGCAATCATCGAATTACAAAACAATACTTAATTATTTTTGAGAATTCAAACTTTGATATAGAAACATTATAGTGAAGTAAAATATAACGATGAAAAATCTCTTTATATTATATTATATTTTATACTGACTTCATCACTGATCCTAAAATCCAAGCCCCGATGTTTTAGATTCTGAGTGAAACGATGAATGTATTGATTTTACAATGATGTGTGTTTTTTTTTTTATTTTTTTTTTTATTTTTTTTTTTATTTTATTTTTTATTTTTTTTGTGTCTGTGTACACGATAAGTAGTCGAAATAATGCTTCGATTTTCGACTTCAGTATCTTGTTCGATTGGAAAGTGAATATCGTTGGTGCATTGGGGAGGTCAAAATTTAAATTTCCCAGTAGTTTTCAAGAGCGCCGGGAAAAACAAAAGAAAAATTAAGGAAAAACGGGAATTTTTACGCAAAATCGATTTTTCAGAAAATTGAATTTGGTTTTTGGTGTAACTTTAAAACAAATGACCGTAGGTACATGCAATTTTCACTGGTTGTTTATATTTGCATCTTCTATACACGATAACATTTTCAAAATATTTTGATTTATTTTGAACAGTTTAGGGACATTTTCATTTTTAGTTTTTTTTTAGTTTTTTTTCTAGAAATATCAATAAAATTTTATTTGTTGGTTGCGAAAGCTTGAAAATTTAATAGAAGGCTCCTAATATATTGTTTCAAGGGCAGATGAAAAATATTAAAAATCCTTAGTCACAATTTTTTTTTATAAGCATTTAAAGTTCAAAAATTGACAAAATATGGAAAAATCACGAAAATTAGCAAATTATTTTGAGTTAAGAATTCGTAAAAATTTTTCTTTTTAAATCTAAGATTTGAAAATCTAATACAAGATTACTCATAAGATTGTCTACCTTTATCAATAAAAAAATCTCTACCGGAAAGTCAAATTAAATTTTTATGAGCGTTTGAAATTCAAATTTTTACAACATTGGATATTCACTCGATTTCTCATGTGGCAATTTCCTTTTTTTGTTGTAATTAAAAAACGAATTACTGTAGATACATGAAAATTTCACTGAATGTTTATATTAGCATTTCCTATACACCATACAATTTTGAAAATATTTTGACTCTTTTTGAGCCGTTTACGGACATTTTCAGTTTTCAATTTTTTTAGTTTTTTTTTTCTATAAATATTAATTAAGTTTTATCTGTTGGGCCAAAAAGTGTAAAAATTTAATACAAGGCTCCTGATATATTGTTACAATATCAGTTGAAAAATATTAAAAATACATAGGCACAATTTTTTTTTATAAGCATTTTAACATCGAATTTTGACAGAATTTTTCAAAATCTCGAAAATTATTAATCATCGTAATTAATAAATTATAAAATGTTCAGTTTTTATAGCTAAGGATTGAAAATTTAAAACAAGATTTCACGTAAGTAGTTAATTCTCTTACCGAAAAATCTAAAAAATATACAATCACAGTTTATTTTTATAGTCATTTTATGTTCAAATTTTGACGAAATTACATATTAAAAAACCTAGTTATTTTGTTGTGATTATATAATATTATTCGTGGGTACCTACTTGAAACTTCTAAAGTGTACTATTATATATATATGATAGTATCAGGGTTTGTTGTTGGTGTATAACGTGTTATTAGTACCTAATGGATATTGTGATAATGTGATATGATTAATTTGGAATTTATTATAGGTCAATTTTTTTTTAATACCATAGATATGTATATAATTTGTCTTAACCTAGACTGACATACCGTCTTCGCTCAGAATCGTTTTTCTTATACAATGATATTGTATCATTGAATTCAAATTTAATAGCATCAATTATACAGTGACCCACTTGTAACCTACTGTACAGCAGAGCGACATCCACTTACCCACCTTTTTTTTTTTTATTATTTACCCAAAGCTCCAGCTTTTCCTATTTTTTTGTTTTTTTCCAGTTATTAAGATAATATACTATCGAGGATTTCCAATGTTAATCTCTCAAAAGTGCCAATTAGAGAAATATTGAAAATCAAAGCTTTTTTTCTACTAATTTTCGTGGATACAGATAACGGACCCAATCAAAAATATTTAAAAAATATACACATTATCTTCTATATATATAAAAATGAATGTATGTCAGTGTGTGTGTCTGTGTGTCCATGTTACCATGGTTACCAAGGTTGCCATGGTTACTAAGGTTACCAAGATTTCATATCAATCTATATATATAAAAATGAATGTATGTCAGTGTGTGTGTGTGTGTGTGTGTGTGTGTGTGTGTGTGTGTGTGTGTGTGTGTGTGTGTGTGTGTGTGTGTGTGTGTGTGTGTGTGTGTGTCCATATTACCATGGCAACCATATCTGTATATAAAAAACAGTAAGCTGATTGACTGCTATCAACGCACAGCTCAAACCATTGGACGGATCTGGCTGAAATTTGGCATACGGATAGCTATTATAATATAGACGTGCGCTAAGAAAGGATTTGCCAAAATTCGCATTTTAAATAGGTGCTGAAACAGGGACATTGAGATTCACGATAGAAATTGGAAATTTTATTTTTATTTATTTATAGTTGCCATTGGTTACAGTCTACATTAGAAATTAGCATTTATTTATTGGTTGCCATTGGTTATTCGGGCAGATCAGGTACAAGCTTGCATCAAATCGAATTATTGAACAATGCTTACCAGGGTGGCAGAGTTGCACTTACCGCAGAAAATTACACCCAAAAGGAGTTCAACAATCATAATTTTTTTAAGAGTTGCGATTTTTTACGAGCAACCAAATTTATTATATTAATCCACAGTATTACATCAAAATAAACTTGGTATAACTTTGATACTTTAGAGTTAAATCATACAATTCCGTACAAACAGCACGGGGTCCGCGATCTACCGCAGGTAGATTGCCTACCTGATAATGTACTGCTGCGATTCAGAATTTTTATTCAGGGCAACGGGAAAGTTAAGATAAATTTTGAACACCATACACCGAATATTGAATAATGAATTGAACAAAGTTTGAGTAGGTAGTATTGAGTTGATCCATTTAACGGGCGACGAAGTGCACGGGATCAGCTAGTTGTAAAATAAATACATTCATCGATCCACTTAAAATTTAAAATAAAAAAAATAAATGAGTAGGAAAATAGTATAATAATTAAAATAATACAGTGGAAGTTTTTATTTATTTTTTATTCCATTTGTTTCCATAGCAATGAAATATCAATTATCTATTTATACAAAAATAAATTGCTGTTCGTTTATCTCGCTAAAACTCGAGAACGACTGGACCGATTTGGCTCAAATTTTTTTTAAGATGTTTGAATTGCCTGGAAAAGATTGGAAAGATAGAAAATTTCAGGAAAACCCACCGGAAAAGTAGAACATTTGAATATCAAAAAATACAACAGTGGCGCCATCCGTCCAGAAATAAATTAACCAAATAATAAAAAAAATATTTTCAGATTAAAATAATAATAGTGTATTGTATATATTGGTTGCTATTGGTTAATCGGGCATGTTTGTTGATTTGTATAATTGTTTTTTGTCAATATATTATATATAAATAAATGAATGTTTGTGTGTAGATCAGACCTCTGGGAAGAAGACAGGCTAATTTAAAAATGGTTTAATTTGGTTTTTTTTTATTCATCTGATATTAGTACAGTTAGGATTTTGTATTAACTGATTATATTAATCGACCATAGGTGGAATACAACGAACTTGGTATAACTTTGATACTTTAGAGTTAAATCATACACTTCATCACTACATCAAGGGGTCTGCGATCTACCGCAGGTATCTGCTGCGAATCAGAATTATTATTCCGGGCAACGGAAATGTTAACATAAATTTTGAACACCATTATACACTAAATATTAAATAACGAATTGAACAAATTTTGAGTCATATAGATTTGGTACATTTAACGGGTAACGAAGTACACGGGATCAGCTAGTAATATAATATATTATGAACTTATTACCTATATAAAAAAGTACTGGTGGGAGTGTCCCCACCAATATATCTTCTCCTAAGAGCTGAGTGACGAAGGACCATCTTCCACTACCATTATATTTTTTTTCAATAATAATTATGAGTATTTAGGAGGGGAGGAAATTTATGAGACGACAAAATATGGCTGTGCCTGCAGCGGCACAACCTTAACACGGCACTGTATATTAAAATGGCCAATATCAGAACTAAATCACTGGGTACTACCTCAACAAAACTAGTAAAACGTCAAAAATAATATAATGTATCCTCATTTTAAACCGTTAAATAAATATTACACTAGTCAAGTATATTCTTAAATGTGTGAATTAGTATTAACATATTATATATAATATAAATTCGTGGAGCATCTTGTAGCCTGTAGGTATATTATGTAAATTTAATGATACTTTTGCAGTAGCTCAGGAGTAAGTTTTGTATCACGTTTACATTCAAGCCAATTAGATCTCAATACGGTTGTTGAGGCCGGGCGAGGTTCGGATATAAATACCACTATGGCGTCCATTTTATTGTTAGTATACGTTTAATAAGCGTAAGATATAATATCATATAATATATTATACATTTGTATCGTTATAGTGAAACTTTATTTTGTTACTTTATCATAAGTCATAACTTAAATCTAAAACTTTTTTTGACAATATCTTACTAAGACATTTTTCCAGTACATAAGCACTGTAAGTATATGTTAATTAATAATTTATAAATTTATAATATTTTGTAATCATAACACAATTCCCGGATTTATGATCATAACCATAAACGGGATTATATTATTTCATTCGATTAAATCGTAATTTTTGTAGTAGGCACCTAAAAATGTCTTTTATAAATAACTTAATTTTCTTTTCGGTTTTTATTGTTATAAACTTTGTGCTGTCCATTAAAGCTGAAGATTGTGACGCAATGTCGAATTTTTTCTTGGAAAAAAATTTAATTATGTTTAACGCAGAGGAATCTGTTGTATTTCTTCCCACATTATTTAATTATAATAAGTTTAGGGAAGCTGAGTGGAAAACACCGACTTGTGTAGAAGGCGAAGATTGTTATATAAGAAACGAAATTAGTTTTAATAGTAAAAGAGTACAGTCACTCTCAAAAACTAATTTGGCCATAAGTGATGAAGAATTATCCAAAGCCGTTTACAAAAGTCTCGTTGATAACAAACTCTCAAGCGATGTACTAAGTGTTTCTCCTGACAGATACACTGTACGTACAAACGCTAGAAATTCTATAGCCTTTTCATTAGAATATGGCGTCAGATATAACATATTGAAAAATAATAATTGTATAAATTTCATGGTTCGAAATAAAGAATCAGCGATATCAGGGTTGATTTGCAAATTTATGTATACCACTGGTGTACGATACAACATTAAATGTGAAAAAGTCAAATTGTTGTTAATCCCCATCGATGAAAATGGTTATGCCCAATGCGAGACAATATGTACAGATTAAATATTGTACTTAAGCTAAACATTCATTAACAATCGCACTAGTGTAATATTATTTTATAGTAGTATGAATATGTATGTTCTAAATACTGATCCCTTGATCCTTGATCCTTGATCCTAAGATTCCGAGATCCTTGATCCTTGATGTATGATTCCGAGACTCTTGATCCTTGATTGCGTACGTGTGTGACGTATATTTACCCCTCCACCTGAACCCGTATCACGTGACCGAAACATATTTTGTATATTTACCCCACCTCCCCGCCCCCTCTGATCCGCCGCCGATGATTGCGTACGTGTGTGACGTATATTTACCCCTCCACCTGAACCCGTATCACGTGAGCAATATATATATATTTTGTATATTTACCCCTATTTACCCCTCCACCTGAACCCGTATCACGTGACCGATACATATTAACCCCCCACCTCCCCACCACCTTCCGATCCGTTATGTGAGCAACATATATTTAATATTATTATAAATATTATCAGTTATCAATACACATTTATCCTGTAGACTCTTAGATATTATACTCAACAACAAATTAAAATACCTATTAGTGAATAACACACAATGAAATCAAACTTCCCACGAAATGTTATCATGCCTGTTAATGAATAACACATTAATAATCAATCTATACTAAAAAATATCATAATCGCTTAACAACAACAACAAATTAAAATACCTATTAGTGAATAACACACAATGAAATCAAACTTCCCACGAAATGTTATCATACTTGTTAATGAATAACACATTAATAATCAATCTATACTAAAAAATATCATAATCGCTTAACAACAACAACAAATTAAAATACATGTTACTGGATAATACACAATGAAATCAAACTTCCCACGAAATGTTATCATACCTGTTAATGAATAACACATTAATAATCAATCTATACTAAAAAATATCATAATCGCTTACACGTTAGACTCTTAGATAGCTTGATATTGTATCTCCTACCAATTAATGGACCCATCCACACCCATCTTGCCTCTGTAAGAGCTGACATTCATTCAGTCTGTTCTCAGTCTTACACAATTGTAATTCTCCTCTACGTTTCTATCAGTCTTATAATTTGTTCTGAGCTTATAATTTTTTACAAGTCATAATATATTATTCTAAAGTGTTCTAAATTTTTCTAAGTATTTGTAAATTTAAAGTGTTTTTATTTTTCAATATGGCCGGTCCAATTGTTGATATCAAAAAGAAGTCGTATACATACATTCCACCGACACCACCTGCATATCTTATGGAATCTACATCATATACATTAGACTTTACAGCACGTAAGTTTGTGCATATTGGTATCGATCCAACTGATGAATTTCAAACTGTTATACAATTAATCACTTCATCGAGACATATAAAATTAACAACAGATTTCCTAAGACGTATATTTGCTCTTATCGGTAATATATTATCATTTATATTAGAAACACCACGAACAAATAAACGAATAACTTTTCTCGAAACTGATTTATTTCTAATATCGAGTATGGTGTACAAGGGTGAAAACAATCTAGTTGTTGAATGTAAAAATAAAAGCGAATGCAGAGTTTTATTGAATCGTGCAGATTTGATTGAGCTAAATAAATTAGAATGGTGTATTTCAAAAACTATGATTCAAAAATCAATCATCCAAACCATTCTTCTTAATCAAATCGATGAGTATTGCGATTATCTAGAAGAAACTAGTTTACAAGATACCAATCCACCAAATACTGAAGATGAAATGGAAGTATTCATAAAGTTGGGTACACCTTTAGAAAACACAACTACATCTCCTAACCTGACCTATCAAATCCAGATGTATGCACCTATGCAGTTACTTAGAATTTGGATAGATCGTAGAAGGGCACGAAACACACCTGAGGTAATGTGAAAAAAATATTATATCATTCATAAAAATATTTATTGATATTAACAAAATATTATTTGTATAGCATACCAGTATATCCCCACCAACAGACGTAGACAATCGTTGTAGACGTAATTCGGACAATGATGCACAGTACCCTCCATGGTATACATCACCTCAATACATCGAATCTCAACCAACGTCCCCCGCAGTTGATGAGAACGACGGTCCGACGTCTTTCAACCAACCACCATCTATTCTCGACTTCACAAGCGGCAAAACCGCGAACAAATTAAACAAGCGGGGCGTTAAACGCAAACTGTTAACACCATCGCCATCGTTTTTTGACAAACCCTCAGATACATCAAGTAAACGGGGCGCTCAACACCTCACGCCATTAGACGGAGTAAAACGTAGTCTTTAAATATTTATAGAAATTAAAAAAATTATGAGAAATAAAACATGATATATAAAATTTATATTTTCATTTATTAATATTAAGGTTTACAATAAATATTTACAAAGTTCTTACTTCTCTATTAAGTGGATTATAAGATACAATTCGAATATATATATATAATATTAAACAGTATGATATATAAAAAATAAAATAAAAATATTTTCATTTATTAATAACTAGGTTTACAATAAATATTTAAAAGGTTAATAAAAATAAAATAAAAATATTAACATTTATAAATAATAAGGTTTACATTAAATATTTATAAGGTTCTTACTTCTCCATTAAATGGATTATAAGTTATAATTTGGTCATTTTACAGGGAAGTTTCATCAGATTAAGCGGGCATTTCTACATGTTCAACCGTGTAACACAACATTTCAAAAAGTATTATTATTTATTACATACATTATAACAAACACCTAAACATACTATAAAACTTACATATTATTGTATTATATATAATCATATTGTATTATATATAATCATTTATTCCCATACATGGCACATATATATATATACAGCATTCATACATAAATAGGTACTTTCATATTATATACACCATCACGCACATCTAATCTTGTTGTACAACTTACATATCAATAAAAGACACTTCGTTACATATAGACACACTCACACATGAAATACATACTTTAAAATACTTAGTCACATTTACATAGATGCATTTAAACATTCCAATACATCCACCCTAAAAAGTATTTTCAAAAGTACAACATCGCTCATCATTTGGTTATACCTACTACTACAAAATTGTTATGCCCAATAATCATCTAGATAGTTCAATTCTATTAGATGAGACCATAGTACCTAAGTTTAAACATGCATATTATAGAAAAATATCTCAATTAAAATAGATAGATCTACCTATATTTTATTCAGCTCAGAGGATTACTCGACAACATACATAAAATTATATATTTATTTAACTAGTAGATATGTACAGATTAAGGAGAATAGAGGATATCGACTCTGAGGGTCTTATACGTCGTCTTCGAGATAGTTTGATCACTAAATGCAAAAATAAAACTATCATATTTTAACTTCACCGTTGATACAGTACATTTCATGTTAGAAATAATACATTTATTTTATTAAATTTGATTTAAACACAAATATGCTTATGCATCCTTACTTTTCAGTCATAAAATATTTTCGATATATAATTTATTTGATACCTAATTTCTTAAACATATATTAATTATTATATATTAACAGTTGATACATAAAATATATTACAACGTAGCCATGCATACTGATACAACGCTATCCAATATACAGTTAAATGCAATATAGGACCTACTCATATATAATTTACTCATTTTTTCGTTAAATACGTAGGTAGAATTTATGCTGAAATCTAAAAATGTACTCATCAATGTGAATATACGTTAAAATGTACTAATTTCGATAAAAACATAGCTGTCTGTGTGTAAATACAAAAATCTTGCTAAAATAAGTAAAAATATCATAATTTTAATAAAGCATATGGAAACATTACAATATTTTAGTGAAAAATAGGGAAAAATATCATAATTTCATTAAAATCATATAATATTATAAAAAATATCATATCCCTACCTAATTACCATCAAAGGCATATATACAGTTTAGTTATTAAGTGTACCTATCTAAATGCATGAACACCATTATAACGAGTCTAAACGGCCGATACATATCGTTGCACTTGATAATATAATTATAAGTTCATATAATATTAATGATATAATATTATATGAACTTTTTTTGATTGCTTCATTTTCAGTACCTAGATAAACCCATGTACTATTTACATATATTTATCACACAATTCTAATACAGCTTAAAGTCTAGAATATCATATTAAGAATTCTTAAAAGCATTACATGAAAAACCGTATTTATTTCAAAGATGAAACAAATTCATATTTAAATTCTGTGGTATTAATAATAAAAAGCATACTATTATTATAGTTGTCTTCATCACATATTAACAAAAACAAAATAAAATGTAGGTACGTTAAGCGGTGATAATTTTCCACTTAATGATTTCATATATAGAAAACCATATATATTTAAATTACTTTTAATGCATATCTTATACACACAACCCAGCATTTATTTTATACAACATTATAGAAATGTATTATTTGTACAGTTATATACTACATGGATGCTTATTACTTATACTATTCATGTGTTATTCCATATACTTTGTAAAATAATGATGATGAAATCACTTGTATATTGCCATCACAAGCTTGGGAATATATTTGAAAAAATCATGATTTTTCAGGAAAATCGGTAAAAATATGCTAATTTCTCCCAAATTATGATAATATTATAATTTTGATAAAATCTTATACAATTATAATTTCTATGTCAAGATCATGTCAAAAATATTGAAATTCTTAATAATAACATATAACTATAGTTTGTAAATCAATCCATCAATCATATCGCATTAGATATTAAATGCAACTATATACTATAACAGAATATTTCAGTTCTAAATAGTCGACTTACTTCTTTTCAATCTACACTATAATATGATATTATATCTAGTTTTATGACTCATACATTATATTATGTTAAAACATGTACACATATTTTCATAAGTACAATAAAAATGTGTTCAATTGTAATTATCATAATCTCACTGTAAAAAAAAAAAAAAAAATATATATAATATAACTAATATATTTTACCTTTAAAAACCGGTACATTCGTAGATACCTTTGCTAGAAGTTATTATTTTTGATTAAATATCATAAAAACTGTATTCATAGAGCCACACTCATCAGCTATATAATATAACACCCAAAATTTTCACTGATTTTCATCACTATACCTGTATCGAAATACACAAACCTATAACACGTCGGTTAAGAATGATTTTCAGATTAAATATAAGACCACTATATTTTCATGATTTTCTAACAACATAACATAGAAATCATATATTTCTCTCCAATTATCGTTAAATACATGAGGGTATATTTATACTGATATCATACCCTATCGCTTATATTATAATAAATCATATGATACCGGGTTGATACAGATTATATCTTATATGCATCACTTATCACTCATTTTACACAAAATACAGGGAATTTATTTTGAAGTTTTTCGACTAGATGCATAAATTATTTTATACACTATTCTATTTACTTTACAAATAATGTAAAACGCATGTTTATTACCCTCACAAGTTAGGATATATCTTACCATATTGTATAGTAGATATAAAATAATAAATTAGTTATAGCTTGATTTTATATAAGCATAATATATTAATATGTATATTGAATATTCATACTATTACATTTCTATATTCGTTGTAAATATCACCATTTCGATCGTAAATATCAACATACTGATCGTAAACATAAACATATTTACACTCCAATACATATAGACACTATACAGATCTTAATAAAACTATATTAATAAGACGATACTTAAATATTAAAAACCTATACAAAAATGTTTAATTTCAACAGTCTGCATTGCTGATATAAATAATATACCTAGCTTAACTATCTACTTAAATATTAATTGAAGGGTATACAGTTTTGTATAATAATATCATATTTTCAATGAAAATATATACAAACTTCATATTCATATTAAAAATCAGAAGGTTTCAAATAAAAATCATATTAGATGTAATCATATTATGATAAATACGAGTATTATATTTTTTAGCTGTCATAAATATAATCATTTCGATCGTAAATATCAGCATATTATTCGTAAATATAAACATATTTGTTTCCCGACACATATGGGTACTATACTGCAGGTCTTGATAAAAAGTAAATACCTATTTAAAATCTCACAAAAATTTATAATTTCAACAGTCTACAAAACATATATAAATATAGGTTTTACTGTTTCGACTTTAATCTAAATAATTAATACACAAATTTTATTTGTATAATAATATCATATTTTCACTGAAAATATATACAAGCTTCATTTTCATATTGGCACATTCATAGATACCTTTGCTAAAAGTTATTATTTTTCTTTAAATTTCATAAAAACTGTATTCATAGAACCAAATTCATCAGCTATATAATATAACACCTATACTATCATTAAAATTTTCAATGAGTTTCACACTATACCTGTCTCGAAATAACAAACCTATAACACGTTGGTTAAGAATGATTTTCAGATTAAATATATGACCACTATATTTTTTATGATTTTCCATCAATGTAACATAGAAATCGTATATTTGTCTCCAATTATGGTTAAATACATGAGGGTATATTTTATATATTTATATTTATACTGATATCATACCCAATCGCCTAGGTATATAATAAAGCATATGATAGGTGGGTTGGTACAGATTATATCTTATATGCATCACTTAACACTCATTTTACACAAAATACTAGGAATTTATTTTTAAGTTTTTCGACTAGATACATAAATATTTTATACATTATTCTATTTACTTTATAAATAATGTAAAGCACATGTATATCACCATCTCAAGTTAGGATATATCTTGCCATTATTAATATGTAGATATTAAATAATTAGTCGTAGTTTGATTTTATATAGGTATAATATATATTCATACTATTATATTTCTATATTCGTTATAAGTATCAACATACTGATCGTAAATATAAACATATTTTATACTCCAACACATATAGACACTATATATATCTTGATAAAATTATCTTAATAAAACGATACGTAATAAATAAAGATATCACAAAAATTTATAATTTTACCAGTCTACAACGCTGATATAAATATATCTTTTATTGTATTCGACTTTACTCTAAATAATTGATAAGTACACATATATGTATAATAATATCATATTATTCTCAATGAGAATATACACAAACTTCAAATTAATATTAAAATCAGCAGATTTTCAAATAAAAATCTTATTAGATGTATCCATGTGATAAATATTATATTTCTATAGTT